GTCCCAAAGATCCGAGCGCAAATGAACCTTCAACTAACACAATTGACACAGGTGACTAAAACCGTAAAGGATACTGTTCTAGTGCTGAATACTCACACCCAAGAGATCAAAGCCCTCGTAATAGCGGTAAATGAGTTAGCCCTTAAGGTTGAAGCGGATTACGCTGTCGCACACCTAATGGATAGGATTTTTGCTGACATGCTTAGAGATATCAGTTCGTCGGTAGATACACTAGCCACCGGTAGGATCCCACCGTATCTAGTCTCTCTACAGATGGTGAACGACATCCTCAGCTCCGCCACGCACGAAAAAGTTACGCAAACACAGGCACACCTGGCTTACACTCTCGGTAGCGCAATCCCAATCTACGTCAATCACAAAACATTTGAAATGGCGTTCATTATCAACCTACCGATAATTCCCTCAAACGGCATATATAGACTCAGGGACGTCGTAAATGTTGGCAATTGGCACGGCGAAAACCATGTTCAAATTGACACACCAAGGATGGTTGCGTACCACGACGACAACCCCTCCGTTTACCTAGCTCCAAACCTGCAGATGTGTGTTCTCACTCGGGAGATACACTATCTGTGCCCGAGCAAACCGTTTATGTGGAATAAAACCGCGGGCATATGCGGATTAACACCTATTCCGGAAAATTCTAAGTGCTCGACGACCGTAACGCCTCGACACCTGGCTAAAGATGCAAAAGCGGAAATAATTGGCTCTCGTTGGCTAGTGAACGCTCCTCAAAGACAGGCGATCATAGCCTACGATCAACCCGGGGCAAATAGACCTTTGGCGTTACCGGACAAAACGATGTGGATCAGTGTTCCCCAGGGAACAACCATACACATTGGTGATTTGACGCTCTATCACCTCGATCCGGAACGATGGGACGCGACTCACGATGACTCAGAGTACCTAGGAAATATGTCTATAGACATAGATCCAGAGACTCTGGGAAGGATCCGTTTTGAAGGCACCCAAGTCGTCGACGTGGAACCAATAAACCAAGTTCTCAAGTCCCTCAGGTCCACAACTAAGAACCCGATCCAACCAATTAACTATGCGTGGTCGAGCGCGGACACATTAATCATAGCCCTGCTAATGACGATAACCCTCGTATTGTGTGGGATACTCGCATCCCTGTCCCGGGGCCAAACGTCACTCCGAGTCGACGTGGATCGCCATGCAGCGCACCTCGATATGATTATGCCTCGCGTAAGCGGGTCCGCAAAGAAGCCACTCACACGGGACAACGTGACTGAAACTGACAACCAGGGTGAGGAGGAGCAGTGAAACGATGTTTCTAGATGCTTAGTCACTACTCTTGTCGGTGTTGAAACGTTGTTTAGTTGATTTTGGTTGTTTCTGAGGTAAGAATGAATCTTGTGTGTAGTAAGTTAGAGACTAAGAAGCCTTTGACCATGCCAACATGCAGTTCATTCATTAAATTGCAATCTTTGCGGAGTCAATGTATATTATTGCTACTTTAAGTACCATAATCTACATTGGTCTCACATCGCTTAAGCCGAACCTACTCGAACAATTCTATTCGGGGGGGATAGCTAATTCTTTTTGATAAGTCTCGCCATAGACTTCCAAAACATTTATGGGGAAACCAAACACCCAATCTCAAGTCGTTCGTCTAAAAGACAACAGACATTTGAACCAAACTATATTTTGCCATGTAAAGCTAACTTAACCCAAGTTAGAAATGGAAAAGTAGTTTGGAACCCTTTTCTATAGGCTTAAACCCCTGTAGTTACCCCTTTTCAGCATGCTCCACCCCTTAACTGGTAGTCGTAGCTGTTCCCAACCATAATAGCTTACACACCAGGTGCATATAGTTTAAGGCCTTATGTAAAATCCCCTTCATAAGCCCACCTTAAACCACATAATTGCATGACACATTGAACCAGAACGGCACGGGCTGGACGTCGCTGGAGACAACCTTCGCTGGAGGCGACCTGCAATCCTGACGTTGGTCTCCACTCTTCATCCGGTGGCCGCTTCTTCAGTTCAATCCAAGGGTACCCCTCTGTATGCTGATTAATCAACACTTCCAATCGTTGTGGATTTACCATTGTGGATTATATGACTTTTTCCAGTGGATTACAGACTCTGTTTCCAAGGGGTTAAAGCATTGCTACAATGGAATTATCGAGACGATATGGAATTATAATCAACACAATGGAATTACCAAGAACATTGTGGGATTACCTTGACTTTTGTTTTCCTTGCTGGATTACTTTTGACTTTTGTTTTCCTTGCTGGATTACTCTTGACTCTTGTTTCTTTGCTGGATTACATCAAGCTTCAAGGACGATCGACGACGTAAGTCCATAGTTGGAATTCATCTCCATGGACAGGTGATGATTTCCAAAGGGGGGACTGTAGTGGACTAAGCCTACGTCGAAACCCAGTCTAAGGTCAAAACTCTTGACCTTTAGAACCTTGTGGGACAGAAGCTGTCATTTCATGTATTTGAATACATAGATACAGGTTCACCCATCCTGAGACTTTCTTTCTTGAAGATTCAAGTGAAAAGAACACTCTCTTTTTATTATCATTACTATCTTACAAATGTTGATAATCAAAGTGTCTTAGTTCAAACCATTTTAGATGTTGCAGTGAACTAATCAATTTTATTAACTGAGTAATGATTTTTATTCTCATGTTAAAAGCTGTTGCAGAGTAATTATGCATTTTTCTGATTTCTGCTTTTGAATGAGCAAGTGTGTGCGTTTACAAGGTTACAGTCAAACGAAAAACAAGTTGTTATGTTAAAACTGTCATGTTTTAGAATCCTCTCAGACGTAAATAGAGATGTTTTGCACCTGTTTCTTAAACACGCCAAAACAGAACCCTCTCGGCCTGTGAGAACATTTCTGAGCTGTCCCATAACAATTCTCGCTGTGTCTAACCTCTTACGTCACAAAAACACACCCCTTCTGGTCGTTTCTGACCAATGAAAAATCCCAAAAAGTGAACCGGGAAAGAGTCTTTAAAATGTCAGTACTTCCTGGTCTAGTCAGTTCTGTGGGAGTTCTGTAAACTACACGAGAGCTAAAGTTCTGATGGAGTGCTGTTGGAGTTCCTGACATGACAACGAAGCTCTTCCGAGTTCCATGGGATTATAACATTTTCCACTGAGGTGAATGTGTGTCGAACAGAGCCTCGCCACTACTTCTGACGGGCTACAGCCATTCTAAGGAGACGCTGCACCGGTAGCGTTAACGGAACACCATATCTGCTGATTATCATCAGAGAGGTAATGGGTCAAGTTTCCTACCAAGCGTACCGAGGCGAGCTGGGCTTCTGATGGAGAGTGTCGGTTCTGGTAACATTCAATTTCCCTCAAACCCCATCCTTAACTCCCTCTAAACTTCTTCCCATCTTTAAACTTTTCTATCAAGTAGAAATTCTTCCAGATATTTAGAAATGTCTGTGTAAAATGCTCACCCACATTCATGTGGGCAAAAGATCATAGTTGTACAGTTTTATAAATGTCTGTGGTGCAGCAACGGAAAAATCATGGCCGTATGATTTTTCCTGATTGATTGCTTATGTTGTTATTTTCATAATTTGCCAAATTAATGTAAATGTTTGATGTTAAATTTGATTCTGTAAATAAATGACCGCATTCATTTTGATGGGTCAAATTTAAATGACGTCTCACGTTTGCATTTCCTTAAATTCAATGCACGTTTTATTCAGTCCAGAAAAATGAGGAATCCGCGTTAAATGATGAATACATCCCAGCATCTGTTCATCTACATCTGCTGTAATTTAGTGATTCTTAACAGGTGGGTTTCAGACCTGATTTCAGTGGTTGAGGGCCTTTATCTGGTGTCATTTTCTAATATCTCCACACTGAATGAAAAATCTATAAAACTGAGAAGTGAAAACTCCCCTTGATTTGGGTCAAAACTTGACATTAAGGTTCTAATGCCAGAAAAGTGACCACTGGTACAGCTATTAAGAAATAAATAGTTATTCAACCTAAGCAATAAATTACATTTAGGAGGCTTTTTTTTTTCTTATTTTTAATCACAGTTATAATTGGATTGGATAATGACGAACAAAGCTGTCTGACAGCATCTCACATTTTGACTGTATTGTGTTGGGTAAAAATAATTTTATCATTCAATGATTCCATGTTTTTTAGTATTTTGTTTTAAATAACACTGTTCCTTCTGTCTAAGAGACATCTAGATTACATCATGACAACCAAATACCCTCCACAGTATTATCAAGTCACAAATCACCACTGAAGGCATCAGCCATTAAAATATGTTTTCTATTTACTGTATGTTTGCCAAACATGCAGCTCCCTGGTGATAAGAAAATCCACAAATTTGAGATAATCAATATACTGATATGTAAAAAGTTGCCTGAGTTTGATTTGATGACAATTGTTGCATGAAGAGGCCTCTCCTCACCTCTGACCCAGCGGTCACCTTTCATAACCTCCCTGAACTGGTTTCAGGGAAGAAAGAAAAACAGATTCATAAAGTTGATTTCTTTCATTTGATGATGACATGTTTTGAACATGGCATAATCAAATTTATCAATATGTTTTTCTTCTTCAAAAGTTTAAAAGAAATGTATAAGCATTTTTTTTTCAGTCTATAAGTAATTAAGTGTCCAGGATAATGAATGAATAGGAATAATCAATCATTATCATGAGGAACTTTGAAGGAATCCATTTCAGGGTGGTTATGAAAGGTGACTTCTGGGTCAGAGGTCATGGCCAGAATAGTTTTATTCATGCGACACTATTTTTTTTTTTCAGGGTGTCTATGAGCCTTAAAACTCCCAAAACAGAGCTTTTTAAATGAAGCTCCTACCATTTATTACATCATAATGTACAATATTTAAACTTCTTCTCCATTTTTTATAAAACAAAAAATCTGTCATTTGTGTTGCATTGATTGCTATTTAAAAACTGCTGTTAAATTGAACACAGCCAATCATTTTATTTTCCACAGTACGAGTCTCTAATGTAGGAGTAACTCCACCAACAGCAGACCTGGTTGAGTTCAACAGTTCTGTCCGTCTGTCCTGCTCCTCCTCTGGATCTTCTCTCTCCTTCCTCTGGATGAACAGCAGCTCTGAGCTTACAGACAGTGACAGAGTTCAGATCACTGATGGAGGATCCACTCTGACTATAATCAGTGTGACCCGATATGACCAGGGACCATACAGCTGTCGTGTGTCTAATCCTATCAATGCTGAAACCAGTGAACCAGTAAACCTCTCCATTAGTTGTGAGTTGTTAACCACATGTTCATTTTTGAATTAAAAAGGCATGCAAAAATCTATAACAATATTTTATGAATACATTTATTTTAAAACAGGGTTCAGAATAGAAAATAAAATGTTAGAATTCCTTTTTAGTCATAGCAAAATGTGTACAACAAAATTATAAAGCTGCATTTGATGCATAAAACAAATAAAATTGCAATTTTTTTTCTCCATGTATGTTTCTGTCCACTCAGACGGCCCAGAAAATATACAATCAAATGCATCTCCATCAAAAGATCACTATGAAGAAGGATCAGACATCACTCTGAGCTGCTCAGCTGAGTCTGAACCTTCTGCTGATTTTAAATGGCTTCTGGATGGAAACCTGCTGCCTGATTCTGGACCAGAACTCAGACTGATGAACGTTCAGATGAGTCAGAGTGGAAACTACACCTGTCAGGCCTTTAACAGCAAAACTCTGAGATATCAAACATCTCAACCTTCTGCTGTCTCTGTGCTTGGTAAGTGTGAAAAAATTGTGTTTGCATGAAAAAAATTCAGTTTCAGAGATATCTGCTATAATTTAGTGATTCTTAACAGGTGGGTTTCAGACCTGATTTCAGTGGGTCTAGGGCCTTTGCCTGGTGTCATATTCTACTATCTCCTCACTGAATGAAAAATCTATAAAACTGAGAAGTGGGAACATTTCCTGGATTTGGGTCACAACTTGACATTAAGGGGTAAAGACTGGTTCTGAAGCCATAGTTATGAATCACTGTTACAGTGATTAATACAAATTATAGTTGACCAGCCTAGGCAATAAATTACATTTAGGAGGCTTTTTTTCTTATTTTTATCATGTGTTTTAGTATTTTGTTTTATATAGCACTGTTCCTTCTGTCTAAGAGACAACTAGACTTATATCATGGCAGCCAAATACCCTCCACCGTGTTAACAAGTCACTAGATAACACTGAAAGCATCACTCGTTATAATATGGTTTTCCCTTCATGATTGCCAAATAAGCAGCTCCCTGGTGATAAGAAAGTGTTCATATTTGATCTAATCAATATACTGATATGTAAAAAGTTATTTGAGTTTGATTTGATTACTATTGAGGCCTCTCCTCATCATGACCTCTGACCCAGCGGTCACCTTTCATAAGCACCCTGAACTGAACTGGTTGCAGAGAAGAAAGAAATGCAGATTCATAAAGTTGACTTCTTTAATTTGATGACGTGTTTTGACCATGCCATCATCAAATTTATGAAGATGCTTTTCTTCTTCAAAACTTTAAAAGAAATGTATAAGCATTTTTTTTTTCAATTTGTAAGTGATTAAGTGTCCAGGATAATGGATGGATAGAAATAATCAGTCATTATTCAGGTCATGCGTAACTTTGAAGGAACCCACTTCAGGGTGGTTATGAAAGGAGACCTGTGGGTCAGAGCTCATGGTCAAGATAGTCTTATTCATGCTACACTATGTTTTTTTTTCAGGGAGTTGATGAGCCCTAAAACTTGAAAAACAGAGCTTTTAAATGAAGCTCCAACCATTGATTACATCATTATGTATAAGTTTTAAACTGTCATTTGTGTTGCATTGATTGCTATTTAAAAACTGTTGTTAAATTGAACACAACCAACCATTTTATTTTCCACAGCACGAGTCTCTAATGTAAGAGTAACTCCACCAACAGCAGACCTGGTTGAGTTCAACAGTTCTGTCCGTCTGTCCTGCTCCTCGTCTGGATCTTCTCTCTCCTTCCTCTGGATGAACAGCAGCTCTGAGCTTACAGACAGTGACAGAGTTCAGATCACTGATGGAGGATCCACTCTGACTATAATCAGTGTGACCCGATATGACCAGGGACCATACAGCTGCCGTGTGTCTAATCCTATCAATGCTGAAACCAGTGAACCAGTAAACCTCTCCATTAGTTGTGAGTTGTTAACCAACGTGCTCATTTTTTAATTAAAAGGGATGCAAAAATCTAAGTTAAGATTACTGTCAAATTTTTCTGAAAGATTTTCATTTGTTTCTGGATAATATAAACAATCTTTTATGAATACTTTTTTTTTTCATTAAAACAGGGTTCTGAATAAAAAAATATATATATATATATTTTTTTGTCATTGCAAAATGTGTACAACAAAATTATAAAGCTCCATTTGATGCATAAAACAAATAAAATTGTACTTTTTCTCCATGTATGTTTCTGTCCACTCAGACGGACCAGAACCTATACAAACAAATGTGTCTCCATCAAAAGTTCACTATGAAGAAGGATCAGACATCACTCTGAGCTGCTCAGCTGAGTCTAAACCTTCTGCTGATTTTAAATGGCTTCTGGATGGAGACCTGCTGCCTGATTCTGGACCAGAACTCAGACTGATGAACGTTCAGACGAGTCAGAGTGGAAACTACACCTGTCAGGCCTTTAACAGCAAAACTCTGAGATATCAGACATCTCAACCTTTATCAGTGTCTGTGCTTGGTAAGTCTGAAAATACTTTTAAAATAAGATATTTCTTTAAAAAAACAGGCCAACATTTCCACCAGACAAAATGCTGTTTTTTTTTTTTTTTTAACAGAAACACATTTAGGGCACTTATGGCAGGTTTACTGGTTAAAAGAAGACGCCCAGGTTTTGTAAAATAAATAGATAGTTTCTAAGAGACATTGGTAAAAACAATAACTGAGAGAGGAAGACCCAACTTATGGATTTTTAACAAGTTAATACAGGAAAAACGTTTAGCAGAAATTAGACAATTCCAAGCACCTGAACATGTCTAACCTAAGATTGTAAGACAATGTCTTTGAAACAAGATTATATACTGGCCACCAGCAGCCTCGTCTACACTGGAAGGTTGTATCACTTGAAGGAGAGCAAGACTTTACATCAAACTATGAAACGACATGCAGAATTCTACACGTGACAATTCTAGTAAACTAAGGGCTTCTCAGAAGACCTACAATTGGATCAGATGTGTTTGAATAAGTTGCAGTGTTACCTCATAACGATAATGTTAAAGATTTTAATATAAGCCGGGTATTTTCCTATTAGCATGTTTTTTATATTTATGAGATAAAGTATTGACATATCAAGTGCCCCCCACCTTCTCTGGTTGTTGAGAATTAAAGCTAAAATATTAATTGTGGCTTTCTAAAGAAATGCAAATACTCTAAGCCATTGACACATTTAGTTAATTAGTACCTCCATATTTCCTTCAGGGTGGAAAAAGACAGTTGATGTACCTATACGTGAAGCGGGGAGACAGGACTCTACGAATTATTATCGGCCTAGATCAATCTGACCTGTATTATCAAAACTGATAAAAAAAACTGTTGTAACACAATTGACCAATTATTTAGAAGCTAATCAGCTCCTCCACCCATTACAATTTGGTTTTAGATCCGGGTACTCTACCGAGATCGCCAATTGCTGCTTGGTGGAGAATATAAAGAAGTTTCTTGACCAGGGAAAGGTGGTTGGGGCAGTATTTTTAGACCTTAGAAAAGCATTCAGCACAGTAAGTCAAAGTTGGCTACTATCTAAAATAGCATCTTTTAAAATTTCAGAGCAGTGGGCTGGTTTACTAACTTCATATCTCCAAGACAGGCAGCAATGTGTCAAAGTGGCTCAAGAAAAAATCTTCATTTTAAAACATCAAAAGGGAACTCCCACAGGGCTCTACATTAGGGCCACTGTTATTCAGTCTCTATAAATGACCTACCTGTCGAATGCAATGGTGTAAATTGTCAGCTTTACACAGATGATGCAGTATTTTATACACCAAGACACAGCAACAGGCAGCAGATATCCTGTCTGCCTGGATGGAGGAAGTGAACCGTTGGTTATTCAATAATGAGTTAGTAATCAATTGAAGTTAAACAATGTCAATGTGCTTTTCCATTAGAAAACACGTACAACAAAATTTTCAAATGTATTTACAGGGTGACATTAAAAATGTAACAGAAATCTAATATATTGGATTATTTTTAGACCCACATCTAAAATTTGAGAATCATATTAACATTTCTAAAAAAGTAAAATGAAATTTGTTTCAAATTAATAAGACCTTATATTTCTGTACAGACTGCTCTTTGGTATATGCATCCCATGATATTCTCTCATATCTCATTTTATGACCTCATGAGCCAAAGCTACTACAATGGCTTTTAAACCAATGGCCTCATTGTATAACAATAAAAGTAATGGACAAAAAGCCAACAAGATCACATCACTGTCTAATCCTGGACAAAAATAACTTAATGAGTTTTGAAAGCTTTTGTAATGTATGTTTTCTTTAGTTAATTTTTAAGTGTATCAGTAAGTTAGCTCCTGATCCATTGAGCTCATTTATACAGAAGCAAAACAGTTACAGTCACTAGAGGATCATTAGAACAGAATTACATAACTCCCATATGTAGAACCTCATTTGATCAGACCACTTTTTCATATAAAAACACACAACATTATGGAACTTATTGCCTCCACATGTAAACACTACACCTGAACTAAAAAAAAGTTTGTTTACATGACTAAATCATGGCTATAGGAAAATCAAAGATGTGATCATTTTTAATACTGGGATTTAATGGATAAGGTATTTGTGGGAGTGTATGTATAAGTGAGTTAGTATTATATTTGCAATTTTTTGTATGTTAGTTGAATGTGTGAGGATAGGGAGGTATTGTAATGGGTCTGTAAGGATCAGCACAAAACCTGACAAAAATATATTTAAAAATGTTTATTTTACAAAGGCGGCGTCTGGTGGATTCGGGCCTCGGTTCTGGTCCAATCTATAAAGACAGACAGGTTAGTGACTGCAAAGAGATTCTGAGGGCTGAGAGAGGATGTGTGCACGTCACTAACCTTCTGGGGCAGGAGTTGGGCTGAGGCAGGAAACAATCCAGGGACGTAGCAGGGGTCGAGATCCAGGACCAGTGTGAGCAGGCAAAAAGATCCAAAAAGGAGAATCCGTGGTCGTTGTCAAAGAGGGGAGCAAGGTCGTACCGTGTAAGCTGCAGGCGTGGTATCCAGACAAGGGCAAGACAAGGCGAGGAGTCGAGAACAAAGCTGTGGTCATGAACAAAGAAACTGTGGACGAGGACTGCTGGATAATTTACTTGCTGTGAGGCTTTCAATAATCTGGCACCTTGCTGTGGCAAGAGTTGAGTTTATAAGGGCTGGCAACAGGTGTAGCGCATAAGCACTGATTACTGTGAGCAGGGAGGATCAAGCAGGCAGGCTGCACAGGGTTGATTGACAGGCAGCTAGAAATGACAGAGGGGAACTGGCCAGAGTAGAGCATAAACCCAAAGCTGATCAGAGGAGCAGAACATGATAAATGTGTGGCAGAGGTCCAAACATGACAGGTATTGAGGATGTGCTATGATATTTATGTAAATTTGGGGATTTCAAGGTTATTTTAGAATTTGTAGAGAGGAAAACATTTTGTATTTTTCCAAGAAAGTTCAATCTGGTCCTCTGGACATGTCCAGAGGACCAGATTGAACTTTCTTGGATTTTTCTACCTGGATTATTGAGCATGCATCAGGATATTTTGTATTTTTATTGTACCTAGATTTGTAAATTGTTCGTATTTTAATGTATAATTTTTATTATATGAATTTGGAGGTTGTTAGGTTGATTACATGAATATGTAGGCAGGAATACGTAGGTATTCTTACTGTATTTTGATTGATAAATTTTATGCATTTTAATGGGTAGAAATGCCCAAACAGGGACTGGAGTTGCGAATGAGCTATAGCTACATACTCTTTGTGCAACACATCAGTCACAGACTTGTTCTGTTCTATGTTTGTGTGCAACGTCCCTGTCAAATAAACTAATAATAATAATAATAATAATAATAATAATAAAGTCAGCAGGAGTGTTTAACAGAAGCTGCCATGTTGGTATTTTGGAACAAGCGTCTGCACCATAGTGATGTTTTAAGTCCTGTCTACTCCCGTACACAGAATCATGGAGTTGCATGACCTTTTTTAACTTTAAAAAACTGAATGTAGTAGGATCATGAATATTTATCCATATTTATCTATAGGGCAACAAGATAGGAACATGTGAATCTACAAGAGAAACATTATCTGAGGTGTTTGTTTTTTTTTTTTTTTTTTTTTAAACAAGTTTTTGTTTAGGGCAGCACGGTGGCGCAACTGGTAGAGCTGCTTCCTCTCAGCGAGCAGGTCCCTGGTTCAAATCCAGGTCCGAGGCCTTTGTGGAGTTTGCATGTTCTCTCTGTGCATGCGTGGGTTTTCTCCGGGTATTCCGGTTTCCTCCCACAGACCAAAAACATGCATGTTAGGCTGATTTGGTGACTCTAAATTGTCCCTAGGTGTGAGTGAGAGAGTGAATGGTTGTTTGTCTCGTTTGTCTCTATGTGTCCCTGTGATGGACTGGAGACCTGTCCAGGGTGTACCCCGCCCCTCGCAAAGTGAATGCTGGACATGGGCACCGGCGACCTCCGTAACCCAAAATGGAAGAAGCGAGTAAAAGGTAATGGATGGATGGATGGAAGTTTTTGTTTACATGGAGGGCGTGGGACTTAAAAATTTTACAGGAACCTGTCTTTAACTTCAAGGTTCTGGTCTGAAGTTTACCTATAAACAGTCTTTGGAATTATTATTTCTTTTTTTTTTTTTTACTTCAGTTTGGGTTAGGGCCCCCACCCTAATCTTGAAAAAAAAAAAGAAGACTGCCGTCTCACGATCAATAAATCATTTCAGGCAGCTATACATTTAAGCAATATGATACAAAACCCAGAAAGCATCTTCTTATTATTTTCATCTGATCCCTCTTCAGTGGTCTCCATAGCGAGTCATCCTCCTCCACCTCACTCTGTCCTCTGCATCCTCTGTCCTCACTCCAACTACTTCCATGCCCTCTCTAACTGCATCCATATATCTCCTGTTTGTCTTTTTCCTGGCAGCTGCATTTCTAACATCCTTCTACCAATATACCCACTGTCCCTCCTCTGGACATGTCCAAACCATCTCAGTCTGGTCTCTCTAACTTTATCTCCCAGCCATTTCATTCAACAGGAACTGGACCTCTGATTATCTTGTTTCTATTATTCTAAAAAATGTATAGTATGTATTTTTATAGCTAAAACCATATGTCCCCCTCATCAATCTTACGGTGGTTTAGCTCTCTGTTCACCTTTATAAACAACACAGAGATGTATGGAAAGCTGTCTGGGGACTAAAACAGTGAAGTTAGCAATAATAAATATTTCCTTTCACAGCTTCTTCTTAGTGAAGTGGTAAGCAACTCCATCAGCCACGTGGGAAAACAGATTGATTGACATGTTCAAAATTATTATTATTTTTTTTACCATGGACGTGTACTTGATCATGATTTCTTACCTATAAACTCTCAGTGGACAATGATTTTTAAAATGAGGGTTAGAAGTATTTTTAAAACTAAAAACTGGACTTGTTTGTCATTCGGCTGCTACCCTCTTTGAGCGTTGCCACAATGAGCGAACATGTACAAACATTTGACAGTTGTTCTCTTCCTCACACAACTTGTTCTCAAACCCGCAGCTTCGGGAATATGAGATCATGGAACTGACCACTGAGCTACTGCAGCCTTAAAACTAAAAAATAAAATCTCTTAGATCTTCTAATCTGGCCATCGTGCCACAAAATCAATGATGCCCACTTAAACGTATGCTGCCAAATTGTTTGATTGTAGAAAACACACTAAATGTAACATGAATTTGTTAGCTGTGTCAACTTAAATCATTAATTATTACACATGGAGGTAAAACATTCTCAACTTTTCTATTGCTTTGCATTACAGAACTTTTTCTTTCTCTGCATTTACATGTAAAAATGTCTCATTGTTTTGATCCACAGCACGTATTTCCAATGTTGTGGTGAAATCAGACACTACAGATCTGGTTGAGTCCAAGAGCTCTCTCAGTCTTTTCTGCTCCTCTGCTGGATCCTCTCCCATTTTCCTCTGGATGAACAGCAGCTCCGACATTACGACTAGTGACAGAGTTCAGATCGACACGACTGATGGAGGATCCAATCTGACTATAGTTAATGTGACCCGATACGACCATGGATCATTCAGCTGTCACGTTTCCAATTATGTCAGTTCTGACAACAGTGGTCCAGTAAACATTTTCATCAGCTGTGAGTTTCTGTCTAAATAAGTCATAATAGTCTTGCTCTAAATGCATACAATTCAAACCTCATTGACAAAGTTAATGTTTAAACTCTGTTTCTTTATAAGACAGCTGCACATTTTCCAGATGCTAAAATTACTTTCAGGTGATGTTTCTTTAAATGTGCCATACATTACAGATGGTCCAGAACAAGTTAAACTGACTATATCACCACATGGAGAAACATTTGAAGAAGGCTCAGACATCCTTCTGTCCTGCTCAGCTGACTCCAGACCAGATGCCATGTTTCAGTGGTTTTTTAATCAAGGCTCACTGCCTGATATTGGACCAGAGCTGAGTCTAAAACATGTTACAATTAAACAAAGTGGAGACTACAGCTGTCAGGCCTTTAACAACAAGACTCAGACATATGAAGAATCTCAATCCGCAGTGATCTATGTTCATGGTGGGTTTAATTATTTATTTATTTATTGCAAATGTTTGCAGATATGATTAAATCCTTTGTAACCAAAGATAAGATACACGTGGCCTCCTGAATTTTAAGGACATTGAATGGAACTTCTTTGATTTTGGACCATTTTGCTGCCTTTCCTTTCATTTTGTTTGATTTTCAGCTCACTGCAAAACTCCTTCACTTCTCTGTCACAGATCTTGCAATATAATCAGTATAATTCTGGAGGCAGCAGACGAATGTTTTGGGGTAACAACTCAATACATGCCTCCTGCTTGGTGCCAATAATATATTTGTAATGATTTGGGAGACGAAATGGAGAATATCAAAGTGGAAATGCCAATATTGCCTTTTGGAGTTGATAAAGAACAAAATAATAAGTTAATGTTGGAACCCTTTCATGTTTTTCTCCAGAGCAACTAAAAATGTCACAGATTAAAGCGACTTTTGTCTTCTTAACTGATCAGACCTCCAATAATGAGCCTCTTTTACAAATATTGTAAACATATAATTTTTGTTTCTTTGTTTTTAGGACCCAGCTCAGGAGTATCTGCAGGCATCATCGCTGCAGTTGTAATTGTGTGTTTAATATTTGTTGCTGGACTTGGTGTGGGGTATTACATCTACAAAAAAAAGTAAGTAAAATATATTAATTAATTCAACCTTTATTTGTACAGGTTAATTCCAGGTTAATGGTAAATAAAATGGTATTAAAAAAAATAACAAAAAAAACAGCTAGGTTGTCAAGAAATGTAGAAATTTAAAAATGAGAGCATGTCTGCATTGCATATAAGCAGGCTTCACTTTTTCCTAATCATTATTAGTCATTTTAATTTGGGACAGATATTTTTAGATACTCCTAAAGTAAAACTAAAAAATGTTTAAAAATTAAACAAAACATCTACAGTATGCAGAATTGGCAAATAGTGCATCTTTTGCATCAGTTTAATTCTCCTCAGCTTTGTTGTGCTTATTATTTTCCAGAGCAAATAATACAGTAGGTCCCATGTTTTACTGTATTATTGAAAACAGGTAACTGGTTATATCTCTCTCTAGAAATTAAAACTATTCTAGTATGTTTGCTTGAAATTTGAAGTCATAAAGAATGTAATGGTTTAATTCATGCTCATGAGATACCATATTTTTTGGACTATAACGCGCACCTGATTATAAGGCGCAATATCTGTGAACAGGTCTGTTATCATACATAACGCGCACCGGATTATAAGGCGTATTAAGCAAAACAAAACAGATAAGACAAACTTTATTCAACTTGTTCCCAATAACCACATAAAATCAGTTCAAGGTCAGTAAGCACAGCCAGAATTAATACATAAGTCGCACCTGATTATAAAAGTCACTGTTGATATGTGTGTGTGTGTGTGTGTGTGTGGGGGGGGGGGGGGGGGGAGTAATACTAACAAAATGAAAATTGTGCTAAAATGTAAATGTTCTTTGTCTATTTTTTTTTTGGTCTGTTAGAAAATGTTTTACTAAAGTTTTGTCATAAAAATGTACATTTCTAATAATTTTTGTCAACAGAATATCTGGAAAAAATTCCTCCAGTTCTACCACAGTAGGTAAGTGTGTTATTGAGTTCCATGTGTTGGTTATTATCTACCCTTTTGATTTAACTAAGTGTTTTTATATTTTAAAGGTGCTAAGAAGCAAGATAACACAGCAGATGCCAGTGAGGTAAAAAGCCATCTTTGTCTTTACATTTAACAAGAGATAATCATGTGCTACAGTTTGTGTTGATGAGAATATGTTCAAGTCTCTAAAAGATGTGTTTTCTGTGCATGATCCTAAACATTTTGAATTTTCCAATTTATATTCAACTCAAATACAAAATAATAATAATTCTTAGATCCCCTTGGGTAAAAGTACTTTATTCAAAGCAGAATTTAAATTAACAATTATTTTTCTATTTCTTTTTATCAATATTTTTCGGGGGAAAATGTATTAAAAGGCTTTCTAACAGAACTCAAGAGTTTTTTTGAAAAAAGCATCTACACCCCTAATGTTTTTCTTTTGCAGGAGCTGCACTATGCAGACCTTAAGTTTTTAAAGAGCAAGAAACGAAGGAACGTGAAGTCAGAAGATACTACAACAGAGTACGCTAAAATCAAAGTGAACACTGGACCCCCAGCATCATTTTCCTTTAAAAATCAGGTAAAGAGAAAACAGGAGGCTTGACTGAATCAGATCGGGTTGGGCAGGACATCGATCTTTGTGCGTCCTTATCAGTTTATTAAATCATTCACACATCATTAATCAGCATCTTGTCTAATTAAACCTCAACATGTGACAAAACTGTGGATCAAACCTTTGATGTTCTGACAAAAAAGGCCATAAATTAATATAAATTCAATTCAACATTTATTTATACAGGTTAGTCTCATTGAGCCTCGAGGAGTCATTTACAAGAGAGACCTGTTTTAAACAAAGAGCATAGATAACAACAGTAAACAATCATAAAGAAAAAGCATATTAAATGAAAAGTAAATGAAAGGAACGATTGTAAAAAAAAAAAACGAAACAAAACCAGCTACATTATGAAGCGATGTAAAATACTAAAAACAGGAACATGTCTACGTTGATTTTTGCCATTAGCTTAGCAGTTGTTTAAAGACACTGAGAGGTCAAGGCCGAGAGCTTCAGATCTTTTTCCAAGGTGTTGTTTTTCCGCCAGATGCCCTTCCTGACACAACCACTGACCACCGAGCTACCACAGCCATCTCTGTGGCGCAGAGAGCTGCATTATAGAGCACACGGGGAAGCAGATGGTGGGGGTTAAGGGCCTTGTTCAAGGGCCAAGAGTGGGGCAAATGAGGGTGGAGACGTGTGGGGTTTTCACATTTCTCATCCACATTTTGATGTTGTCGGTCTGGGGAGTTGACTTTCCTATCACAGTGCTCCCTTCTCTAACCTCTGCGCCACCAGTAAATAATCTTCCAATAATCTTGTATTATATATAAGAGAGCTGAGTCAAAAGGCGAAGATCTCAATTTACCGATCGATCTACGTTCCTACCCTCTTCTATGGTCATGAGCTTTGGGTTGTGACCGAAAGAACGAGATCTCGGATACAAGCGGCCGAAATGAGTTTTCTCCGCAGGGTGTCTGGGCTTTCCCTTAGAGATGGGGTGAGAAGCTCAATCATCCGGGAGGGACTCAGAGTAGAGCCGCTGTTTCTCCACGTCGAGAGGAGCCAGTTGAGGTGGCTCGGGCATCTGTTTAGGATGCCTCCTGGACGCTTCCCTGGTGAGGTGTTCCGGACACGTCCCACCGGGAGGAGGCCCAAAGGAAGACCCAGGACACCCTGGAGGGACTATGTTTCTCAGGTGGCCTGGGAACGCCTCGGGATTCCCCCGGAGGAGCTGGCCCAAGTGGCTGGGGAGAGGGAAGTCTGGGCCTCCCTACTTAAGCTGTTACCCCCGCGACCCGACCCCGGTTAAGCGGAAGAAAATGGATGGATAGATAATCTTGTATTATTTTATTGATGCTATAAAATATTGAGTACTGGCTATTGTGTGAGCAGATTCCCAAAGGTGCCCTCCTCCCCAGCTACCTCTATGTCAAGAGTTAACTAGAGTTTTTGAACATCACTCTGATTTGGACTTTGACCAGTAAAAATGGACCAACATGATCTGGACATGTTGGACAGTAAATGTTTGTCTCAGCCACCCTGAACAAAATTATTTGTCATTTTATTTGTGGCTATTAGACAAAACTTGTTTAACTTTTCCCCACTATCTTTTTCTGCAGGAGCTGAACCCTGCAGACCTCAGCCTTCCTAAGGACAATAGAAGCAGGCCAGCTCAGGTGCAGTTTGAAGATTTTTCGTCAAACTACGCTCAGATCAGAGTGAACAACAGACCTGAAGCATCCTCTTCCATTAATAATCAGGTAAACAGAAAACGGGAAGTTTGACTGAAGCAGTTCAGGTTGGGCAGGACAGCGATCTTTTTGCCTCCTTATCAGTTTATTAAATTATCCACACATCAGTAATCAGCATCTTGTCTAATTAAACCTCAACATGTGACAAAACTGTGGATCAAACCTTTGATGTTCTGACTAAAAACATGATAAATGAATATAAATCTATGTATATGTACATGGAAACATGATCAAACTTTCAAGTGAGCAAGATATGAAATATTCAGAGGTTATGCATTTTCTTTAACTTAAAATCAAATAAAAAAACAGTTTTGCACAATAATAATTTGTGCAATACTATTTCACAATAAAAAATGCTGACAAAATATTGTCAGTATATAAAAGTTCTTGTCCTATATTGCTAATAGTTCTGGCCGATAGTCATTCAGACCAGTCACTGTAGAGCTCTTTTGGATTGGGACGATGGTGGCAGTCTTCAGGCAGGTGGGAATTGTTGCCAGGGTGAGGGAGGAGTTAATGATGTCGCAGAGCTGATCGGCACAGTCTTTCAGCACCTTCCCCGAGATGTTGTCTGAGCCGGTTTCTTTGTGAAGATTAATCCTCCTGATAGCACTCCTTACTTCAGCTGAGGTCACGCTGAGACACATCTTTTTCCAGTGGTGAGGTGAGTCTGGTGCTGGGTGGTCTGTTCGTGTCTTCAAAGCATGCGTAAAACTTGCTGAGGGCATCAGGCAGTGATGAGTCCCTAGGGCATTGTGCACCTCTGCCTTTATAATCTATTTAAGGCCCCTCTACATGCTCTGTGGGTCTTGTGAGGTGAAATGACCCTGGATCCTCTGTGCATATGTGTCTTTGGCCCTCTTAATACCAGCAACCAGCTCTTTCCTTCTCCTTCTCAGCTCCTGTGAGTTGCCAGACCTGAAGGCAGTGTCCCTGGCTTCCAGTAGGGTGCAAACCTCTTCATTCAGCTAGGGCTTCTGTTTTGGGTAGCTCTTAATATTTCTGCTTGTGGTGACGTCATCAGCACATTTGCTAATGTATCCCTGGACTGAGGATGTGTATTCCTCCAGGTCTAGTTCCCCATCATTTACAGCTGCTTCACTGAAGACCTGCCAGTCTGTGCATGCAAAACAGTCTTTCAGTATGGAGTCACTATTCTTCACCCAACTTTTGACTTTCCTTTGTAATGGTCTGGAGCATCTCAGCAGGGAGAGGTAAGCAGGGGCCAGAAAGATGGAGATGGTCAGAGAGTTCTAGGTGGGGGCGGGGTGTGGCTTTGTATGCGTCTCGTACGTTGGTGCAAAGTGTAAACGTGGTCGAGCATGTTATTTCCTCGTGTAGGAATGGTCACATGCTGATAAAATCTTGGCAGGGAGTCTTTCATATTTACGTGGTTAAAGTCACCAGCCACCACGTAAAATGCCTCAGGGTGTTAGTTTTGTAGCAAGCTAATAATGTCATGCAGCTCCAGCAGGGCGTCTGTAGCATTAGCATCCAGGGCTATGTAAACAGCTATTATAAACACCGCCATAAACTTGCGGGGTAAATAATGTGGTAGTCGCTTCACTGTTAGCTGCTCCAACGCCTTGGAGCAAGAGTTGTTTATCAGTGTACAGTTTGTGCACCAACTTTTACAGGAAGTGTTAATTTATTAACCCTGTCTTGTTATTTTATATTCTGAGACATCTGTGGAAAATAAAAGAAACATAAGGTATAACACCATCAGTATTTGTAAGACTAAAATACAGTGTTACACAATACAAGAAATTATGACACATATTGACACATAAAAAATGAGTGATCAGTTAATAATCTTCCAATAAATTTGTATTATTTTATGATGCTATAAAATATTTGGTGCTGGCTATAGTGTGAACCGATTCACAAAGACACCCTCCTCCCCAGCTACCCCTCTGTCAAAAGTTTAGAGCTTTAGAACAGTACTCTGCTTTGGACTTTGACCAGTAAAAATGGACCAACATGATCTGGAAATGTTGGACAGTAAATGTTTGTCTCAAGACACCCTGAACAAAATCATTTGTCATTTTATTTGTGGCTATTAGACAAAATGATGAACTTTTCCTCACAATCTTTCTTCTGCAGGAGCTGAACTCTGCAGACCTCAACCTTCCTAAGGACGATAGAAGCAGGCCAGCTCAGGTGCAGTTTGAAGATACTTCGTCAAACTACGCTCAGATCAGAGTGAACAACAGACCTCCAGCATCCTCTTCCATTAAAAATCAGGTAAACAGAAAACAGGAGGTTGCACAGGACAGCGATCTTTGTGCTTCCATATCATTTTATTAAATTATTCACACATCAGTAATCGGCATCTTGTCCAAATAGTCCTCAATATGTGACAAAACTATGGATCAAACTTTTGATGTTCTGACAAAAAGGCATCATAAATGAATATAAATCTAAGTATATGTACATGGAAACACAATCAAACCTTCAAGTGAGCAAGACATAAAATATTCAGAGGTTATGTATTTTCTTTAAATTCAAATCAAAGAAAAACACGGTTTTGCACAATGGTATTTTGTGCATTACTGTATCAAAATTTAAAAAAGGCTGACAAAATGTTGTCAGCTGATACAAGTTCATGTCTTATATCTTTAAAAAAAATTGCTTCAACTTCTAAATCTGAAACACATAAATATTTGCTGGAATTTGTTATGTGTCAGAGCGTTGATACCCCTGTCATCTCTTGAAAAAAGCACATTTTTGACATTTATTTAGATGTCACTAAAATCATGACAGTGAAAAATTGGGCTTGTAAAAAAACAAAGTCTCTCCTTTAAGATTTAAATTATTTTCACAAGCTGTAACAATGATATTTACTCTACATTTTATACTCATGAATGGACAAGAAGTGTTAATTTATTAACCCTATAAATATATATATATATATATATATA